AGATTATCATATAGTTATCCACAAAAAATATCCACAATTGCCAAATTGATTTCTAAATAAGGATAACATGCACCCAACCCACCAATGTATCACTTAATATCAAGAAGATAACAAAGATAACAAATAGGAGATTTTAATAATCACTTTACTAAATTTTGATCCCTGTAATTCTGGTAATGCAAATGTTCACTTTGTCTGGTTTTGTTGCAGTATGCCCCAAATTTAATTGGTTCCCATTTCTTGATTGCCCTAAAATTTGTGAGTCTATACAGGTTCTGTATTCTGTACATATGTGCCTCTGTAGTAAATCATGCTCTGTATGGAATCAAAGATTGTACAGACTGGCCCCCACTGATCAACTTTTTAGAATTCACAAATTCTGTACAAAATTAAAAAATTGAAGATTGTACAGACTGGCCCCCACCAATCAACTTTTCAGAATTCACAAATTCCGTCCCGTACAAAATTAAAAAATAAAAATAAAAAGTGTACGGAGCAAAAAAAATAGTGAAAGTTGTACGGAATCTCTACTGACTGGTTAAATACATCGCACTAAATTAAATTCATCGTATTCTTTCGTCAAATAATTAAATAAATAAAGCTTAGACTATAATAATAGTAATAAGAATTTAATACGGTCTTGTTATCTCAATTGGTATGTAAATTTGATCGCAACATTAAAATATTGCACAAAAAATACCAGTTTTTGAAACTGGGCTGGGTTTCCCTAGATCTTTCTGGAATATAGGTGGTTTCCTTCCAGCTAATAAATTTTTATATTAATATATAACCTTTGTCTTTATCACAAAGTCATCCTTTGTTTATTTATTTAACTAAAATTTTTGTTACACGATTTTAATTAATCTCGGCTTTATAAAAAATTCAAAATTTAATCAAGTGTATAGCGAATTAATGAATTGACCAATTAATGAAAAGATTGGCTTGGCAATCTGATGGAAACGTTTTATGCAAAGAAGTGTGTAAATTGTTCTTACCTCCTTGTGTTTGATCAGTGTTTCACTGAATGAATGTCTATGTATAGTAATGATCGACAAAATAAAGTTTTTTATTTCGATAA